AGGAGAGCGCTGGTCATTCACTCCCCCCCACCTACAATCCCTGCCGGACCTGAGACACGAACCCATGACCTTCAGGTTACAAGTCAGACTCTCTAACCATTAGGCCACGACTGCCCCTTTTACAGACTTACTATCTGTAAAACTGTAAAAAAAAAAAAAAAATCCCTAAGTAACACTTTCAGATCCAGTTTTTCCCTGAAATCAACTCCATGCATCCTGGTGTCAATGAGATGCCTCCCGTTTGAAAAGCAGAGAGCTTTGTGAATTTTCTCATGACTCCTGCTGACAAGTCTTTGTAAAGATAATAATGCTTCAGGTGGTGTGGCTTCATTCTTTGTCTGCCTGCTGAAACTGTTATTTGCATACAAAAAGAGCAAAGCAGCTTCCCTCCTCCCTCTGCAAGGAAAAAAGAGGACAAAAAATGGAGCAATGAGCAGATTTGGGGGATGGAAGGAAAAGGACATGTTTCAACCAACAAACTGATGGCCAACTCCAGGACAAGTTTTCACCCTCTGAAGCTCAGTGATATTCAGGAACCCAGGGTACTCCTAATTAAATTTATTGCATCCAACATGACACTAGGAGTCCTTTCAGTTTAGTGAGTTTGACATATGCTTTTTTGGTTTTAGGAATATCTTATTTCTGGTAATTCTAAAGGGAAAATCCAGTTAGTTGCTGTGGGGAAAACACTGACATCAAATAAGGAAGAGAGCTCACTTATTGTTGGAGTTTCACTTCACTGTAACACCATAACCATACTAATGACAAAAGCTAGACGTGTGAATTCAGATTAAATAAAGCTTTAAAACTTTAAACCTTAGAGATGTCTATGTGGAACATCTGAAAAAGCCCCTGATTTTCTGATGACAAGGCATTGACGTTGTGGATTTTGTGGTGAATTCCAGTGCATCCAAATAGCTGTATAAGAAATATTCATTTCCTGTCTCAAAATGCTCATAAACTACACATGCAGATATGAGTGGTGATGGGACAGAACGCACGTTAGGCATTTAAAAAGCTAGTTTCAGCAAGACAATCTAACAACGTAATCCAAGATTGTGCCATCTAATATGGACAGCTTTCACTGTGATCACTGCATGTAATAACATGCCCAAATAATAAAAAAAAAAAAGTCTCTATATAAAAGAATCTAGCTTATGGTACTGTCGCTTGGACAAATGGGTTGATTGTTTCCTTCTATATCTCACATGGGTAATTAACAGATCTGCCAGTGCTAATGTAATTCATGACCTAAAACATAACCAGAATAAACCTCTGAATTCCACTGAAGCCAATATGGTTCTAACAGACAGTGGCACTGGTACATGCTATTGAATGATAAGAACTTCCTACCAGCTTCTGCCATCTCCACAGATTCTGGCTCCTCTCTGGCTGTCAGGATCCTACTTATGCGCCGTGACATGGACAAGAGTATCCCAGAAAATGGGTGGCTACTCTGTTTCCCCTGTAGAGGTTGGGGTTCTGTTATAATGCTGGTACCTGGCTCAGAGGTTGAGCGTAAATAGTCTCTTTTATAGGCTGAGCAGGGCAAGTCAGGTGGAATGTGTTCCAGTAGCATGCCTGAGCTGGTGACTTTACTGACATCAGGGACATTGGCAGGTAACGTGTAGCTGCTCCTGTTAGAACAGGTCAGATCCTGGATGAGCACAGGCTGCTTGTACCGGATTCTGCTCTCAAGAGTGTCCAAGGACTCCATGGGGGCAGAGTTGGAGCGATGTTTCAGCCAGGGCCTGCTGAAGATGGCCCATCGATGAGGACTTTCTCCGTCAGTCAGGCAGTGAGATGGGTTTCTGCTAGACCGCAGACGCTCCCCAAGGGTAGCTTTCCGTTCCAGACTCATTTGGATGAGAGTGAAGTCAGGCAGATAAATGCACGAGGCAGAGAGCTCCCACTCACAATACACAAGAAAGTCAACGACGTCTCTGATGCCAGAGTTCTTCAAATGAAGAAATCTTTGATCATCACCTTTGTTTCAATCAATGTTATCTACCACTGGAGTTTTAAATCTGAGTCAACTGGTGTAACTAGTGTGGCCTATTTATATGACAAAATGTTAGAGAAGGATGTACGCAATAAAAGGTTTAGACTCCACTTTGTCTAAGAACACGTCCACTACATGTCGCTTCCGCTGTCACTTCCTGCTTTATGCGCTGCTTCTCTGCTTCCTGGGAGGAAATGAGGTAAGTACACACATTGCCGCTTGCTCACACTATCCAATCAGATAGCATAACCCCACAACAGTGCCACTGGTTGAGGTTATGTTTATCTTTCGCTGATGAAATTCTGCTATATTTTAGGTTAAGAAAAAGGATGCCAAGAAAGAGTAAAAAGAAGTGATTGTCTAAATAAACCAATGTCAAAAAACACTGGACAGCACAGACAGCATAGATTTAGCTTGCAGCTAACATATATTAATATATGTTCTTCCTCCACATTGTTGTTTTGTAAATAATCTTGTTATTTAAAAAAAAAATGTTTTTTTTTATTCACTATATATATTTGAATGATGTAAACTTGTATTGAAGATACTGGTGTACTTCACAAGGTCTGAGTATGTGCCTGTATAAAGTGAACAGTTTACTGAGCAACTTTTTGTATAACTGCAAATGTCAATAAAGACTATAAAAAAATACTAGAAATCAGTAATCTTGACTATAATATTCCTATTGGTTAAGTAAGAGGAACTCTAAGCATGGCCTTCTACAATTCATATCACATTCAACGATGCACCTGTGATTATTAATTTCACAGTATGTCCAAAGGAGGATTTTCAACATGTTTACAACAGAATGATAATGAAACTTAAATGTAGGTTCACTAGCTACCTGGTTCCTGGTATTTGCATATTTTATTTATTTATATATATATATATATATATATATATATATATATATATATATATATATATATATATATATATATATATATATATATATATATATATAAATAATTATAATAAACAAAAATAAATAAAAACACACACACATACACACACACCGATCAGCCATAATATTAACATTGATTATCTCGTTACAGTGCAACCTGTCAAGGGTGGGGGATACATTAGGCAGCAAGTGAATTAAGTTCTCGAAATTGATGTGTTGGAAGCAGGAAAAAGGGGCAAGCATAAGGATCTAAGCGACTTTAACCAGGGCCAAATTGTGATTTCTACACGACTGGGCCAGAACATCTCCAAAACGGCACGTCTTGTGGGGTATTCCTGGTATGCAGTGGTTAGTACCTACCAAAAGAGGTCCAAGAAATGACAACTGTTGAACCAGCGACAGGGATATGGGCACCCAAGGTGCACTGATGCGCGCTAGGAGAGAAGGCTAGCCTGTCTGGTCCAATCCCACAGAAGAGCTACTGTAGCACAAATTGCTGAAAAAGTTAATGCTGCCTATGACAGAAAGGTGTCAGAACACACAGTGCATCACAGCTTGCTGCATATGGGGCTGCGTAGCCGCAGACCAGTCAGAGTGCCCATGCTGACTCCTGTCCACTGCCGAAAGCACCTACAATGGGCACATGAACATCAGAACTGGCCCATGGAGCAATGGAAGAAGGTGGCCTGGTCTGATGAATCACGTTTTCTTTTACATCATGTGGATAGGCGTGTGCGCCGCTTACCTGGGGAAGAGATGGCACCAGGATGCACTATGGGAAGAAGGAAAGCCGGCGGAGGCAGTGTGATGCTCTGGGCAATGTTCTGCTGGGAAACCTTGGGTACTGGCATTCATGTGGATGTTACTTTGACAAGTATCACCTACCTAAACATTGTTGCAGACCAAGTATACCCCTTCATGGCAACGGTATTCTCTAATGGCAATGGCCTCTTTCAGCAAAATAATACGCCCTATCACACTGCAAAAATTGTTCAGGAATGGTTTGAGGAACATGACACAGAGTTCAAGGCATTGACTTGGCCTCCAATCCGATTGAGCATCGGTGAGATGTGCTGGACAAACAAGTCTGATCCATGGAGGAGCCACCTTGCAACTTACAGGACTTAAAAAATCTGCTGCTAACGTCTTGGTGCTAGATAGCACAACACACCTTCAGAGGCCTTGTGGAGTCCATGCCTTGACAGGTTTTAGCGGCACATGTGGGGCCTACCCAATATTAGGCAGGTGGTTTTAATGTTATGGCTGATCGGGATGTGTGTGTATATTTATAATAATATTATATATATATATATATATATATAAAATGACAATGTGTGTATAAAATGAATGACTGGTCAATATGCTTCTTATAACCCATTTATAATTAAGTTATAGCATGACAACTTCAGTTGTACTGGACTGCAACAAGTTTGCAACAAGAGCACAGATCTTGAGAAAAATGAGAAATGCAAATCAACATAATGGTCATTTCATCATTTCAGTAGTAATAATGCCACAGGATTTCTAAACAGTGCTTAGTTATACAATAGTTTTTAAATAATTTAAGCTTCACATCAGCCACATGTCCACTTTAAAGAGCTAAATAAATGACTAAGCAAACAGGCCAAAGCACTCTTGTGTTCATGTCATTCCACTGAGCTCACAAACTGACCACCACTATCTGCATCTTCCTGCTGTTCATTTCAAACAGGCCTGGCCTATGACTAAGCCAAGAGCTTATGGGGAACTGTGATTATTTCCTCTTGAGGCCTATGTAGATGCTACAGTTTGTGATACAGCCGTATCATTTTTTTTTAAACATTGTCCTCACATCATCCATATTCTCTAGCTGTCTATGATCACTGGATCTGAACCCAAAATGAATCCACATGGCAGAGGTTACATTAGACGAAGAGGTTACAAAAGAGCATGTGAAGGGAGTTGAGTGGATGAAAATAATTCAACATTTATATATTTTTCAGCCACCTCTAGATTACAATGAACACAATACCATTCAACAGCAACTTTTGTAGTATTATTATTACTATTATTATTATTACTATTATTATAAAACAAGCACACCCCAACAAGGGCAGTGGTGGCTCAGTGGTTAAGGCCTTGGCCTACTGCTCTGAAGGTCATGAGTTCAAATCCCAGCACCACCAAGCTGCCCTGCTGGCCCCTTAAACAAGGCTCTTAACCCTAAACTGCTCAGTTGTATAAATGTGTATGTCCTTGTAATGTCCTATTACTTCTGTAAATTAATCACTTAGCAATTAATTTTACATTTAGACATTTTGCTGTTGTGCTCATCCAGGATTATTTACGAAACAACAATGTGGAGAAAGAATGTTTTTTTTTTAAAATACCAGTTTCACCATCATGGGGGCATGTTAACTCGATCTTGATTAACAGCACCTGAGCACATCCAAATGATTATGTTCAACCTATGCAAGACGCATTTACCACCTGCCACAACACAGCCCTTATTTCTTGAAAAAACTGAAACATAGTTGACCCCAATCTGTTTTTTGTTAGTCTTGAGAGCAGTCAGAATGAAAGCTGTTACTTGCAAATGTAGAACCCCCAGCGAGGGACACACAGCTATTTCCTTACTCCTGTTTCCTGTTAACATTGCACTTTACACCTCTTAAAGACACCAACACAAATCTGCCACAGGGAATGTGATATCCTTGAAGAAGCACAAATGCAAGTAGTTGAGTTTGTCTGAGAATGAAAAACGTCACATATTTGAACTTGAACTAAAAAAAAAAAAAAAGAATATTTTATTATTTCATTAACTCCACAGAAAAGTTTATCTGTTGCTTTCTTTAAGTGTGAATTGCAGGTATTGTTTAGAACATGAACATAATCTTATTCAACAAGATATTTGCTAAAGGTTTGAATTCCTGTCATACTGAGTGTTTCCGGTGCTCTGAGAGCCCTCAGGAGGAGATGTGTCTGGACTGTACCAATTAACACCTTATTATAGCTGCAGCAAGAACCAGGTGGCCAGAAGCTGGGTGCGAAAGTGGTCATTAAACACCAGCACCTCCTGAGCACTGCTGCAGGACTGAAATAGTTCCAGCCCCAGTGCTCAGGGACAATAGGGCCTTTCGCACTGCTTTAGTTCCAGAACTAAATTTACAGTACTAAAGTACTGGGCGATTTTGCGAGAACTATTTCCCAGTACCGTTTAAAGGGTTGCATTCGCACCCGACAGTGGGCACTAGGAAGTGACGTAAGCTGGTCGACAGCGACGTCATTTGTGCGCGGCGTTCAACAACGGAAACAAAGAAGAACAACGTAAACAACCGGAGGATGGAGGACGCTGTGATCGGAGCTGTGTTGCACTTCAGCGTCTGTCCATCTATCGCTGTTCTCCATACCTGCGAAATAAGTTGACACTACAGTATGTTTACATGGCATTTTAAATCATGGCGGGTGAGGGCGTTTTTGTACGTGTTTGGCCAAACAACGTCTACTTACGTCACAGATAGTACCAGTTGTGCTGGTTAGAACCTGCTCTGGAGTAGGAGCTAATTTGGTTCTCGAAAAAGGCAGTCCGGTACTAAAATCGCACGCAAAAAGTGGGTAGTTCCACAATTAGTTCAGGTACTATGAAAAGGTTCCTGCGGTGCGAAAGGCCCTAATATGAACATCATCTACCCACAGGATCTAAAGCATGACAAGCTAAAGGTCACTTTTCTTTTTAGTTTTTCAGTATGATTAATCTAAAAAGCAAACAGAGCCTGAAAAATAGGCTTAGTCACAAACTTTATACTACTGTACTGAATAATACACCAAAAGAATACGCCACAACTATTTAAACAATCAGGTTACAATACACAACTAAACAGTAGGTCATCATGCAGCGCCACCATTTAGTATGACATTATGCGGTTTTGGATTAGTTATCATAGACTGTCTAGTTTTTCACCATTTCATTTCCCAGCATTCCAGCAACATTATATCCCTGTGCTCTAACCTCTCCTGAATAGTGGAATCGTTTAAGACCTCACACAAAATTCAACTGAATTTTGATTCTGAGGATCATGACGTGATTATTTATCAATTGTCAATTATTATAACATTAAAAACATAAATGTCAAAGATTCAATAAAAAAATTCACTTTTATTTATTTACTCATACAAAGGTTTATGATAAGAGTTTGATATGTCCTTTTTCTTCTCTTGGCTTAAACTATGCTGTTTGTTCTGAGGGTAAAATATAAAATATCAGGTTTATTAATATGCACTTGAACAATAAGTCTTATGGAAGCTGACAGCTCTAGTCTAGTGTTTATCTTGCTTCAGAGATAGCTAATACAGCTGACATAAAAAAGCATTTATGCCTAAATCTATGTAAATGTCTAATAATGACATTTCATGCATTTATTCAGAATTGTTCAAGAAAGAAACAATTATTATTTCCAATTTCCCAATGTGTCCTCATACTCCTGATGTATGAGGATACATTGCTGCTACTTTGAAGCAGAAGAAAAACGACATATTGACTGCGCTTGCACTGAGGCCACTGTGCCAGCATCTGCTTTCAGCATTGCTATGCTCTGTGCAGGAAGCCAAGGGGAGTAAGGGCATAAACAGCACCTCACTATAAACAGGTCCTGTAAGTCAGCCTGGCGAGAAAGAGAGACAGCGAGAACAGAGGCAGACACAGACAGAGAGAGAGAACACATGAGGCAGAGTTAAAAGTTGCATTTAAAAGGCTAAAAGCTAGGCTAAGGCTGGCCAATCCAGCACTAACAGAATTAAATTTCCACACTGTATTAGTTCCAGCTGAGAAATAAAACCCTCTTAGTTGAGCTCTAACAAAAGGCAAGTTGTAAATGACTCCTCACTATAAACAGGTCCTGGAAGTCAGGTGAAGTAGAAAAATCTAAAGACTGCATTAGGAGGATAAAAGCTATGCTAAGGCTGGCCAAATCAGCAATAGAAGCGAATTAAAATTTGTGTATCTAATTGGGTTAAGAAATTCATCTCTTAGGTGAGACAGATTTTCTGAGGGTTTTCTGATCCAAACCCACATGCAGTAATCAAAACCCACATGCAGTCACCACCGTAACTAAGATGACCTGTTACCAATTACATGTCTGGACACGGAACAGGAACTAAAACGTGACCAAATTGCACCATGTGTTTTTCCCATTAATAAGGGCAAACCTCCTCCCCAAAAATATGTGGGAGTGTATTTTTAACCAACTCAAGAGATTAAAACTCTTGATTCGTAGCTCAACCAAGGGAAATCCTGCCACCCCCACCAACGCAGAGGCCATCAGGCCTACACAGAGGCAAAGGGAGGGACGCACTAAACTCTCCATTTCCTATCACAGCCAGAGCAAAGCTAACAGGTTTTATACAAAATATCTGCTTAAAAATACTAGCAGGTCCCACATTTCCTAATGAAGAGGAATCCAATGGAGTGTAAAACAGCACTAGATGATATTAAAATAGCTTCATCATTATAAGAGACAGACATTCCGAGGGGAATTGGAGGAAGGGCCTTCATTTTTCCTGAAAGCGGCTGATGAGCCTTTGTGTGTTGTATTGCCTCTCCTGTCACGGCGTCTGAATGCGATGGGAAAAGGATGTGTGGGACAAGAGTGTGTCTGTGTATGAATGCTCCTTCAGACTTCTGTTCTAAATCTGTTAACTGCACGCCCCTGATAACAGACAAGAGGGCACCAGAGGTTCAGCGAGGTATGTGACCTTCACTTCACCACAACAGTGAGATGTTTCCTGTTTGAGCACATGGCGTGACTCTCACAATTAGAAAATTAAACAGTGAAATAATTTCACCACATGGTTACCTAGTGAACCTGTACACAGCCTCTAGATGGCCTGTCTTTTTCTTCTTTTCTATCTGTTTATACAAAGGCACCACATCAGTAAGCATATTGTACTGGTGCCAGTGATCACCTCTAAGAAAGATTTCTCAATGCACCTACAACCAATCAAAATGAACGCTCCATAAAGAAAGCAATCACTTGACCTCACAAGGCACTCAATCAAGTAATCAAACCAGATCTCCTTTGCACAATGCTGCCTACTGCTTTACAGCATTAGACAAGTGGAGACAAGCCACACACAAATGCACACACTCACACATGCACACATACACTGACCTATAAGTAGTACCGTCTCTATCCTTCCATTTTGCTGTAATTTGGCAGCGGTCTACATCTCCAAGTGCAACCTACTGACACTTTGCACTACTTTGTGTATTTAACTACATGCATAAAGCAAATAGCACATGGGAACATGCAAAACACACTTTGTGTCACATTTAAAAAAAAAAAAAAAAAGTGTGAATTCAGCTCATAAACAATGCTGACAATCATGCTTTACACTTGTAGCCTTATATTCTCCTATATTAAAAGAAGGAAGGACGTAGAACAAAGGAGAGGCGGAAGGAGGCACCTAGAAGTGCAGCTGTGGATGTTAAAGGGGTGTTTTAGTAATGTAGAGCAGTGACATACCATATCACAATACACAACATTTCTACATGGTATATATCACAATATATAGGTTTGCTAATCAACTGCCAGCAGTACTGGTATATTTAAAAACCCATGACAAACTGAGCTTGATGCTTTTTTTTAATGTCTACAAAATAAATTCATGTAGAAAAAAGGGAATTTTTTTTAATCTGTAAAATTTGGCATTTTACAATTTTAAAGATTCAGTACAAATTTTTTTTTTTAACATCAACTGCTTGGAGTTACACAACAATACTGGACTACCAAAATAAGCACCAATGAGCTAAACTAAATTAATATTAGAGGCCAAAGCCTCTGCCACTGAGAATCTGGCTGTAATGGAGACATATCTGAGAGATCTTTCAGAGCCTCTTTTCTCCCCAAGCGTCATTGTTCATTAGGATAATGAAGAAGCAGAGAAGACCAATGTGTTGAAAGAGATCAATCATAACTCATTTAACTGTTCTGTTTTTTTAATTAACACAACAAAACATATGCAGCAATGATGTTAAGCAGAGACAATGATTCTTAAACTGTCTACTTCATTGTTCTTTTTGTGTTCTGGTAGCTTTGCCTCCCAGGATTTTCTCTAGCCATTCAAGCAAGCAGACCTTGTTATAAGTGTCTGTGTCTATTTCAGTGAAATGCCTCAGTAGTTTTTTTTA